GGTGAGATCGAGGGAGAAGAAATGGTGGTGGAGATCGAGGGAGAAGAGATAATGGTGGAGATAGAAGGAGAAGAGGTGGTGGTGGTGGTGCAGATCGAAGGAGAAGACCGATTGAAGGAGATGAGAAAGAGAGGGAAGAGGGGTTTATATGAAGAAGAAGGGCCGGGTTTTTTTTTTAATCAAATATTGCCACCGGTTCAAAACCGGTGGCCTTAAACATTTTTGCCACTGGTTCGGTTTGAACCAGTGGTAATAATATTTGCCTTATACCCGCCCATTTTTTAAAACACCGGTTTATAAAACCGGTGGCCTTTAAGCGGTGGCATTTTCAATTTTTCTACTAGTGATTGCTAGTATCATGATTAGGTTAATTTATATTTAATTTGACTAACGCTATTATTGTTAAATTGCTTTAAATATTAATGCTTATTCTATTGTTATTATGATCATCATATTGCATGTTTAAAGTGAATATGTAATTGAAAATTACGCCTAATAAGATAATTTGAACAACCGGTTTAGGATCTTTTTTAATCTTGTCATTAATTCAAAAGATCACTAATATTATAGAATTATATGTTGCATTAATATTCAACCAATTTATCATAATAATTGTTTGGAGCAAATTGAATATTTTGTTTGTATGCCTTTGAGATCGCAGGAATCACTTTTCACTATAAGAACCGAGTAGACGCCAATACGGGCGAATGTGACTCTATGACTCACTTCGTACCATCATCCCCGATCCTCCCTTCGAACCATATGGAGTTAGTAATCTCATGGATTATGAATAGGGTGTAACCTTCACGGGTCAATCGTTGTTACCTATCGTTGTCCCTTAATCGTGGTTGCCTTTTATGATCCGTGAACGGTTTACAAGTTCCTTAAAAACTTGTTGGCGGCTCCTTACTTATTTATCCCTAATCATATTATGTCAATTCCCACTTCCTATGAGTGCCAAGCATATTCACACATGCTTTAACGTAGGCACACTTTGAACTACGCCTACAGTTATGCATTTGTAAATAAATAACATAGATTAAAATATTTTAAAAACACATGGTAGAGAGAGAAAAGAGGAGAGAAATAGGAAGAGAGAGGTCTGTAGGTGGACCCCACCTATTTTTTGGTCGGATTGTATCACGTGATAGGGGACCACATGTTGATTGTTCCATTGAAAATTTATATGGTACCATTGAATCCTCAGTGGTACTATTTATGCATAAATTTTGTACAACTGAATGCATCACTATTTATTCAGTGGTACTATTTGATCATCCAATGATACCAGAATATGCATTCGTTTGTACATATGTATAATTTCATGAATATCCCTTGTTATGCATTTTTACACGCCTAAGGCCCTGTTCTTTTGAGCTTCTGAGCAGAGCAGAGCAGATTTCAGCAGAGCAAAGCAAAGCAGAGCAGAGTAGAGCAGATTTCAGCAGAGCAGAGCAGATTTCAGCAGAGCAGAGCAGATTTCAGCCGAGCCGAGCAGAGCATATTTTATTATCATCATCATCATCATCATCATCATCATCATCATCATCATCATCATCATCATCATCACTACTACTACTACTACTACTACTACTACTATTATTATTATTATTATTATTATTATTAAATATTAATTATTATTATTATTAAATATTAATTATTATTATTACTACTACTACTACTACTACTACTACTACTACTACTACTACTACTACTACTACTACTACTACTACTACTACTACTACTACTACTACTACTACTACTACTAATATTATCGCATTATTATTATAATCATTAAATTTTTAAAGTTAAATATTAATTATTATTATATTAATTATAATTATTATTAAATATTATTTAATTATTATTATTATTAAAAATTATTAATTAATATTATCTTTAAATATTATTTATTATCTTAATATTAATTGCTATTATAAAAATCAATTATTGTTATTATAATTAATATTATTAGTTATAAGTATTATTATTACTATTAGTATAATTACTATTATTATTACTATTATTATTATTATTAAATATTAATTATTATTGTTATTATTATTATTGTTATTAATAATTATTAATAATTTATTATTATTATTATTATTATTATTATTATTATTATTATTAAATATTAATAATTATTTATTATTATTTTTTTATTTTTTTATTAAATATCAATAATTAATTATTTTTATTATTATTATTAAGTATTAATTATTATTATAATTAAATATTAATTTTTTATTATTATTAAATATTAATTATATATTATTATTAAATATTAATTATATATTATTATTATTATTATAAAATATTAAATATTATTATTAAATATTAATTATTTATTATTATTATTAAATATTAATTATTATAATAATAATTTAATATTAAGTATTAATTTTAAGTAGAGTAGAGCAGGGCAGAGCAGAGCAGATTGAAGCAGAGCAGAGCAGATTTCAGCAAAGCAGAGCAGAGCAGAGCAGAGCAAAACAGATTTCAGCAGAGCGGAGAAGAGCAAAGCAGCTCTAAAGAATGGGGCCTAACATTCCTCCCTTTAAAATCCCTCAGTTTTTTCAGCATCAAATTTTATCATCTATTTGCATAAGCCTCTTACATGCAACACTTTGGACCCACCCTTTACTTTTCCCTCTTCATTTTCCTTAGCTTCTTTTCTCAATTTCCCCTTCTTTATTAATTTATCACACATTTGAGCAAAAACCTATAATCGAGAAGTGAATAATTAAATTAGGGTTTCAAAAATTATTCCTCTTTCTTCAATACTAAAATGAAATCCAAGAAAAAAGTATATATTGCTCTTTAATGCTAAAGGCAACTTATTTGGAAATGATACTCGAGTTTTGAATTCAAATTTGGGATTTGATTGTGTTGAAATATTCGTGGAATTAACTCAAAAAATTTGTCAATTTTACGTTGTGATGAGCACTATTATGGTTGTAATTGATGTTTGAATTAGCATAACCCATAATTTACCTTTTTTATTTGTTTAATTCGCGCTAAGTTTGAGAGCCACATGTCCCCAAAGTGTGGTCACCCTCTGCATTGAAATTAAAGTACATGTTCAAACAATGATTTGAAAAGGGGAGAGAGAGAGAGAGAGAGAGAGAGAGAGAGAATCAAATTTTTGGAGAAAAAATATGATGGGTGAGTAACAATAAAGGGAATTAAGGAAGAAAGACAATGGAAGTTAAAGACCGGAGAATGAAAAAAGAAGGCAATTAAAAGGATAAGTCTTAGAATAATGTCATGTCAGGGAATTTGGGAAAAGAGATGGTAATATTTGGTGTGAGCCCCAATAATATTATAGGTAGTAATAATTAAAAGAAAAAAATTAGAAAAATAATCCCAACTTTCATCAATTTTTGGATTATTTTGGAATAATCTCAACTTTTGAGGGGTCTTTTTTTCTTCAATCCCAAACCGGTCAACAAAAGTCAATGACATGTTGTAACAGGTTATGTGCCATGTGTCAAGCTGCAATTTGTCCAAAAAAAAGAAAATTAAAAAAAAATTAATCTAAAAAAAACCCAAAACCCTTAATCTCCTACTTAACAACCGTAACCCCCACCACCACCACCACCTGCCACCGCCGACCGTGCTAACCCCTCCCTTCCCCGTCCCAACAGTGCGCTGCTTTCCCCACAAACCCGCTCTGTCGGTGTTGCGACCCACCTATACCCCCAATCCCCTCCTTTTCCATTCAAAACACCCTCGAAACCCCTCCCCCACTCTCGAAAATCCCCAACAGCCAATTCCTCACCGTTGAAAACCCAAACCCTAGCGGATTGGGTTTTCGATGGTGGGGGAATGGTGTTTGATGGTTTTCGAGAGTTGGGGAAAGTTTCAAAGGGAGTTTTGAGTGGTGGTGGTGGCTGGAAAAGAGTTTCGAGTGGTGGTGGCCTGGCGGCTAGAAAAGGAGTTTAGAGTAATGGTGTTGGCGAAAAAGAAGGAGAGGAAGGTGAGTCGCATCACCGGCGTTGAGGGAGGGGGAAACCAACGTAGGGGGAGGGGGAGTAGCAGTAGCCGCCGAAGATAAGGTTGTGGGTGGACAGATTTGGGGTTTGGCTGATGTTTATTTTTTAATTTTGTTTGTTTCTTTTTGTGTTTATATTTTTAACCAATTAACGTGTGACATGTGTCACTTTTTAAAAAAATAAATAAATAAAAAGAAACTCATTCAACCAGTAACCGGTATTTGAGATTGAAGAAAAAGAAGACCCCCCAAAGTTCGGATTATTCTACCAAAATTGATGAATGTTGGGATTAATTTTTTTCTTATTTTATCTAATTAAAATGAGAAGAGCAGTATGTGCAAATTATTAAATTAATTATCCAATAAATTACAAATAACTATTTAAGAGTAAATCAATCTAGTTAAAAAAAAAAAGTGAAAGACTTGATTCATTTTCACCAAGCTAAGGATCTGTTCACATTTACTTAATTTCAGTTCAGTTCAGCTCCAATCAGTTCAGTAAATGTGAACAAACCCTAAGAGCATCAACACTCGTGGCATAATTTTATACCACGGTGTAAAAACTCATCAAAAACATGCAATTTTTTACTACATTGGTGGTATAAAATTATACCATTTGATGGTATGCACCATCCTATGGTAAACAATTGCTTTGGTCCTCGTGAAACATGAATCAACCAGGTCACGCCATGTGGCCTAGTTATCATGTATCTTTTTTTTTCAATTGCATTTTAAGAAAAAATTATAAAGTAAAAATTTATGTAAAAATTACCATACATTGTTCATAATTTTTCAAGACCTACACATAGACACCCATATTGATATAGTTTTATATATTTTTCGAATTCACTTTTTACTACATAAATTGCTTATTTATTTAATTAACTTTACAAATATTAATTAGTTATCTCCAATAATAAAATGAAATATAATTATAATTAAATTAAGTGTATTATTAATACAAATAGGAGAGAGAGAGTGTGGTGGTAAACTTTTTTTATACCATGGGTGGGATGATTTTTGGAGATGATGTATTGTGGTATATTGTATTGTGGTATAGATGATGTGGATGAGTGCGAAAGTGGTAGAAAGAGAGGGATGGTATAAATTTTTATAACATAAGTGATGATGGTCTAAGGAGGTGGATTATTTGGATTTGATTCTAATGCTCATTAATAATTTGCATCATATAAGACTACAAGAGTGATTGAATGATAGCAAAATCTATTCTTAGACATGTTAGGTAACCAAATAACTAATATTATCATTTATACATGTACACCTAAAAAGTTGCAAACAACTCTTATTTAACTCATTTTATCACCAACTTGACAAGAAATAGTCATAAATCCATCCTATTTTCACGGAACATTAACAAAACCAACCCAAACACAAACCCGTTTACAGAAAAACTCAGACATAATATTGCATATGACAACTTTTTTCATGCATTATTTTACCAGACATCAACCCATTTTTGTGCCTATATTTAATACTCATCAACTTTCTTAATGATCATCAAAAAATTATGAGTGGAGCTAGGGTATGTTCATCTCCTGATCTTTTCCCAATGTCAACTAGCAATAATGAAGATTTAAGCTTAGAAGGTAAACTTTCATTGCTAATTTCCCTATATTTTTTTCAATGAAGGGGTGTAATAAGAGCACGTCCATGTTTATCTTGGAGATTAATTTTAAAGGAACGTCTTTTGTGCCCTATTATAAAAATAACTTTTATTATTACTAGAAAAATAATAGAATGATTAAATTGTATCTTGTGATACATTTGCATCTTATCCTAGAGATAAATTTGTAATTCCGTGTTTAATAATTTGATTTAATTTATTTTGATTATGCAAAGGTAATCAAATAAATGATTTTGGACTTAAAAATATAAAAATAAATAAATAAAAAATAAGAAAAACATTATCTTAATTATTTGTGTTGTGAAATAGGTATTTCAGCAAATGTAAAGCTGCTGTTGAAGCTGATTCAAGATCATCAAGAAGCATCTATTAAAGGGAATTTGGATGAACGAAAAGAACAAAGATTTGCTGGAATAATGACCATCTTAGACGACGTGAAAACAAGGCTGCAAAAATCTCAAACAAGTTCCAAGAAAAGTAAGGCAGAACTTAGACGTTGTTACACCGATTTACGAGTGAATCCTCCTAAGGATGTACAAAAAAAGGATGAAACGTTGATCTTAGACGAAAAGGAAAGGCTGCGAAGGGATCTAAACACGAGTTGTGCAGCACAAAAGAGGCTAGGAGTTATGTGTGCAAGTTTAGGGAGGGAAAAAGAGATCATTTCAAGGGAGTTGACTCGAAAAGTACAAGAATTGAATGAAATGGAAGAGCATATTAATGATCTCAGGGCGCAAAATGAGAAGTTATCAGCTAAAATACAGGCATGTGTAGCAGAGCAGAATGACATCAAAAGAAGCGCGAAAGGGTCAGAAAATAACATCAGTTATGCAGTATCTCAACAAAGGAATAAGGAGCTTTCAGAGCAACTTCTGAAGTCGTTGGAAGGCTATAAAGCGATGAAAAGGAAGCACATAGAGGTGAAAGAAGAGAGGGATGGAATGCAATCTGCAATGGAAGAACTTGGAGATGAGGTTAAACATAGTATTGATATAGTCCATAGCCTCAGGCAACATGTCGCTGCTTGTGGTTTGGGTGAGCAGGGTTGGGAGATTGAAGAGAACATCACTTCGTTAGAGCATGTTTTTACAAGACTTAATGTGAAGACTTCGAGGATTAGGCAGGAAAGGAAGTGAAGTATTTGAGACTTAGGAAAGGAATATCCAGACTTCAATTTGCATAGTCTGGATTTTACAAGTTCTGTTTTTGTGAATGAAAAATTGTCCTGTTCTGTTTCTTTTTTGAGAAAAAGTTTTCCACAAACTTATATGTTCGATATTTTGTACCAAATAATATGAATATGTATATATATGTCATAAAGCTTTGTATGAAACTGATTTTATAACATCAATGAAGAAAGAAAAACACTTCTTGTTTTAGAATCAATTAGTATAAGCAACTCTATTCTCCTGGCTAACAACTAAATTTTCAGATATTACAAACACTTTAGTTAGAAAAATAACACATCAAATAATTTATGATTAAATATGGGCATAATCACACACAGAATTAATGATTTTGAGCAATAACTTTCAAACATGTTTATACAGAAGGAAATTTAAAGATGCTGCAACATTATAATTTGACAGATAAACTAGTGTTCCTGATAGACGATTAGATATCCTCAAAGTTAACTTAATACAGTGCCAATGATTTAACTTATTGACTACCTAAACTTCAAAATGCTCCAGAATACTAAGCAACTGTGCCATTCACAGATCTTGCAGTTTGTGTCCAGCTATGCAATTCAAAACCCATGAATTGCTCGCCAATTTCGCTCCACTTGAATTGGCAAGAGCTTCTGCATCTGATCTCCTGCTTTCAAGAATTATATTCTTCTTGCGAAGATCACAGTTGGCAGGCAGTTCAATGCTGTAGGCTATGATAGTTGATGATGCTGGAGAAGGGGATGCACCAATTTGATAAGTTTCTGCAATAGGCCTCCTGTGTAGCACAGTTCCTCCTGCTGCAGTAACAAGGTCTTGTAGATACCCCTTGTATGAAGGTTCAAAATCTACAGTAAAATAGAAATTGATCCCAGAAAAGAGCTTGGCTTGCTGCAATTTATAAAATTTTACATGAATATATAGATGGAAACAAACAGTAAGATTTTCATATAATTGCATTAAAGTTGTAAGCAATATAATGGCAAGTGGTAAAAACAACTGGAGGTAAAGTTGATAACATTGAGACTTTATAACTTAGAATGCATTCAGGGTAACATAATTATAAAAAATTTGGTCTACCTATGGTGTTCACATTTACATTAGATATTCAGTTTGATGATCGAAAAACTAGCTCCACAGAGTCACAGACTCACAGACATGAAGGAATTGCCAGAAAATAGGGGTACTCACACAAAACAGACAATTCATGACGCTGTTTTAACGAATTATTTGACTGGCTAATGGTAACTTATTGTCAACACAATCTATGATGATAAAAAGGATTTCACCGAATATAAACACTTCAAGAGTCAAGCTTAAAGATATAAAAACAATACAAAAAACTAAAAGCAACGATAATACATTGTGGAATAAACCATTATCAATTTGAAGCAAGTGTTCTACATATCAAGTAGGTCAAACTAGGAAAATGAAGCAGGTTGTCAGGTTGCTAATGTACCTCTACTCAGCACTCAATATGCTTAAACATAGGAAGATGAATTTCTTTTTTAAAACATTTACATCATTAGTGTAGATTAAACAAATAGTAATAGTTGAATGCTAAGTATTGAAACAGGACTTCTGATTGAAACATACTTTGTTTAGAAGCCTTAATCTACCCAAACGAGGGCCATCCTGGACTCCATGAATGTCAGAAGTGATTTCATAAGGAACCTCCTCAATTAGTCTCTTGGCCTCTAAACAAGCTTGAACCCCTGCAAACTCGAAAAGGTTAAATTTAAGTATAGCAAAGGCAAGACATTAAAAAGATTTTTAAAATTCACGACACTCTTAATAAAAGGAATGCGCTGACATTTGATGCTTAATATCCATTTTCCTTCTAGGATCCCCATCATAACTTTGAGTGTTCTTTTACATGCTCCATTCTCATTCGTTGATGCAACAACATGGGTGACACTTGGATTCCAGTGACCCAATACCTCAGCTCCAGATGACTTTGCTAACTCAGAAACAGCTTCCTGCAGATCCCGCTCACATTAAGGATATCTATAACAATTGTTGCCATATTGGCATACTTATGAAAAATATTATTACCCTACCTTATCTACAGTAGCAAGAGCCGAACAACAAAGGACCACTTTCTCAGCTGGCCGACCAGAGTCCCACCTGTTTATGCTAGTAACATGTCTAACTGCAGCCTGAGGTCTTTGGCAAGGAGGTTTCCTGCATAATAAAAGAATAGATTTCAAAATTTTGCATTTTATAATGCTTGTCTAAAATAGCTAATCAGAAATCCTATAGAAATTGGTTAGAGATTAGCATACCCCTTTTGATTGCGTTTTCTGACTTGCGTTAGAGGCAATTCACAAGGCAACTTTGAGGAGGCATGAAGAGGACATAATATAACAAAGTGATCCTGATGAAAAAGTGGTAAATGCAGATGAAAAATGTGGTTAGTTCTACAAGAAAAGAGTCAGTAAGCTTGATATACTACAACTAGTAAACACTTACAGCATCCCAACGACACTCTTGAAGCTTTTTGGCACAGGGGACATGAAAGCTTTTGCGACAACTCTTCTCATAACAGCCCAAAGCGGCTCCCTTCACTCCACATAAAGAGCACTTAATCCTACGGCTTCGTGTCAATTCTTCTTCAAGATTGACCGCAATATTATCGTTAAAATAAACATTAGGGGCCCTACACAAGAGTAAAATATAATGTTTTATTTATCACAATACCAATTGTCCAAAATGCAACTTCATAAACATTAGTCACTAATAGGCCTTACACATTGAGACTCAATAATATCAGCAAAATTTACAGCAGGTACATAGCTGGTCTGATTTTAGGTAAAATTGTCCAGTAATTTGTTTGCAACTAATATTAAGGATGCTTCCTATGTAGAAGTCGCGAAAATATATAAGCAACAGATTGGAATTCTTTTGGTTTGTTACGAAACATACCACTCAGTGCAGATTTTGTGCGAGTGGATGACAGAACCTTCAGAGTGATTGGCTAAAACTGGTCTACCTTCAGAATAGTGAGCCATTTCACCAGAAGCCTGCATTATTAACCATCAGTTAGTATATCTACTTGAATGTACTCAAGAGGAAATTATGAACTGACTGCTTGCAATAGAGTAATACAGTACCTCTGTCTCTTTGGATGAATGACAGAAAGCACATTTGATGGAAACCCTGTCACATTTGCGCAAAGCTGGTATGTCTTTTTGGCAATAGATCTTTCCCTTCTTTAGTGGATTTCCTGAACTATCATTGTTAGATTTTCTTAGAACACACCCTTCAGCTTGAGCCTTTAATTGAACACTTCCACCTCCATCAGCAGCATTTCCTATCAAATTAACGTTTGCAGAAATCTCTTGTTCAGGAACAGATGTCAATTTACGCATCTTCGTAGGATTGTCATTGGACACAATGGATTTTCCTCTAATGACATCAGACTGGGCAAGATTTTCCTTCTGCTTCTTTCTTTTTACTGAGTCAGCATCATAGATGTGCTCAATGCTGTCATATTTCCTCTTTAACTTTCCCAATTTCATAGTACCTCTTTTATGTCCAGAAGCGTCAGGAAACTTGGCAGGAGCATTGCCATTAATTTCCTTCAATATAGTATCAAATGATTTAATTTGTCTTATTTTAGAAGTACCAGAAGCTTTTGCACTCTCTAAAACATTTTCAGTACCAACTCCTTGACATTGCATCAATTCAGCGGGTGTTTTTGAACCATTAAGGGCCTCTCGAACCTCCATTTTGTTCTTTTGGCAGTCTTTGCTTACTTTTCTACCTCTCTTGTAGGAAGGTTTACACCCATTTTGGCTATCTTCAAATTTTGTTCTAGGATAGGCATTACTAGGTAGCTCCTGGTCCATCATAGTATTCTCTTCTTGCCGGCTAACATTAGCTAGGTGTTCTGTAATCAATTTAGTGCCAGAAGATGCATCTCTCGAGGCTGCTTCCACCTTCTTTCCAAGCATTGTATTACTATTTGTCTCTTCAACCTGCATTTAACTCAAATTAATACCAGAGACTGGAAGATACCTCAACAGTATAGCTTGTGATGTATAAGAATGTCAGTTACCTGCTTCTTAATGGGGCTTGAACAAAGTTCAGGTGAGCATTCTCTTTGTGTCCATTCAAACATCTCACTGTCATAAATATCTCTATTGCACTTGCTGAGTGGCTCTTCCTACAAGAATGGATCAGATAATAAAAAAGCTAACATACCCAATTATTAAATAAAATAAATAAAGAGCTAGAAAAATTAGCAAGAGGCCAAGAGTAAAAATCAATTAGATAGACAAAGTAGGTTGAGCTGCATCAAAGCCTAACTAAAAGGCAGAAAGGTCAGCACATCTTCTGAGCTTCAAGATAAACACAAAATTCAACATAATATTGTTTAACTTGGTGTGAATATAGAAATTGCAAACTTACTTCCACAGATTTTTCTGCGGGCACATCATCATCTGAATCCTTCAGATCACTAAAAGAAGGGGCTTTCATTGGGGTACATGTCAATGTCTGATCCTCATCAGTCTGAGGACTTGACCTTTCTACTTCTTCTCGTAACCAGAAGAAAGGTGACATGTGTGACCGTTCTTTCTCAGTTGAAAGTTGATGTTCACTAGGAAATGTTGAGCACTTATTTATATGATTGTTGATTACTTTGTTTTGAACAAGCCTGTCTTTTTCTTGTCTTGCTGGACTTTCAGTAGTGGGAGAATGGGGCACTTGAACCCTTTTATTCGTTGCAAATGAAGATTTCCCTCTGTTGCGCCCTGAACGTTTTGAGTTCACTTGTGGTGATACAGACTTTACTCTGCCTGTTCTTTGACACTTCACAGTCTTAGGAGTTTCTTCACCAGTATCCCTCATAGCATCCAAATCACCATTAGCCTGAACTTTTGCATCTGCAAAATGAAAAGTATAACTTAATAGATGAACAAAAGATGTGTGTGTGTGTGTATTGTATATAGGGAAGAGTCGAAGAGATCTCATGAGAAGTTTCGTAAAACGAGAAATAACTACACATACTTTTTAGTTGAATGTGCATATTTTGATCACATTTGAGCTAAAAAGAAAAGGTTGCACATATAGTTTTAAGAAAAAATGCATTCAATTCAAAAATAATGCACGCTATTTCCTTCATTTGCTACTATGACTTTAATTGTGGTACTGATATTGTTGTAACTTTTTCTTTTATTTCAAATCTTTGCACATTCTGTTTATCTTTGTAGCATGAGATATTGAGATCCAAACTAAACAGCTTATGAGCTGCAAAATCAAACTGGCGGCAATTCTTTAACAACAAGATAAAGTTTTTTTTCTGTACCACAAAATATCCTGAGTGTCAAATTCTTATACTAGAACAAGAAAACACAGGAACCCTTACAGTTTCTCTTTTAAGGTACCCACTGAAATTACAACCATGAGTCTCTCTGAGCATATGTTTACATGAATCAGGATTTAGGAATCAATGTATAAGAAAAACTAAGGGATCTTGAGACATGGTGCCAAGACTGTGGAACAATCATGAAGTGGCTTTTGCAAACTAGGGTCCATTATGATATCACTCTGGATAGAAAACTAATCATACTCTCACACTTGATAATTTGATCTGGGTTTTAACTTTTAAGTTCCTCAAATTACTCCAAATCTAAGCAATCAAGCAATAATCCTAATTCGATCTTGAATACAAAATCTAAGGTTTGAATGCCTACTCCAAAATATATTACTAAAATAACAACCACTAACATCAACCTTTTTTAAATTGTATACATGTCAAGTTGTGGTAGAAAATTTTTCCGCCTAAATTAGTTACAGACATCATATTCTAATCCTTTTTTTTACCTTGAATTATTATAATACTTCGTTTTTTATTTTTTTTACAACAAATACTTCGTTTTATTGAAGACAATTATTATATTATATTAATACTCCATATTTTAAATTATGAATTTATGAGTGACTATTTGGCTTTCATATATAATTACTCCCGGTTAAAGAGTACTCATATTGTATTCTCCCTCTGTTTTCTTTTATTTGCATCAATCTAACCAATACATTTGCCGAGACGAAACTTTGACCATTAATATCTTTAAAAATTATGACAAAATTATATTATAAAACTAGACATTATAAAAAATCTAATGATATATTATATAATAAATTTATTTATTTTATAGAGGTGAAAAAATCAAATTAACCATAGTATGTAAATAGTGCAAAAATCAAAAGTGATGCATTTAAAAAAATGGAGGGAGTAATTAATTTGGTTAAATTTTTACTTTCTTCAAAATTAATTAGATTTTAAAATAGCATTGCAATTAATAGTATTGTTTCTATAATTTATCATATGATGTACATATATAAAATATATTTATTTTAAAGAAATTTTTTATGTCATGCATCGCATGAGACAAATCTAGTATATGAAGTAAATCACAAACCTTTTTTTTTTTAACTATGTAGCCCTTGAATGAGTGATAAAGTACCTAAACCAAATCATGGGCTTATTAACTAGCGAAACAATTAAAAAAAAAAAAAAAAAAAAAAAAAAAAAAAACCAAGAATGCAACACAAGGTTACTCAGGTTGTCAAGAATCAAGTGACAACTTCAATTCATGCCTTAAATTCTACATCATATTATCACTACTAGGAGAAAAAATACAACGTCCATATGACACAACAGCCACCGGATGATAATGCCACTCGTGTAAAGAGTATGAGCAGGTCGATTTAGGGATCAGTAATTCATTTAAGTCATGCAAGTAATAAAAATGGATTAAAAATGATAAGCTAAAGTCTTCAAACAAATTCAGTCACAACAATAACCGAGGTTTAAAAACTAAGGCCTGAGTGGGCAATGTTTACAGAACTGCTTACTAGAACCCTATATATATCTGGACAAAGTCACAAAGATGTTTCATTACCTGCTAATTTGGTCGAGGGTCCACTTTGAGAGACAAAGAGAGTAAACCCTGATGCAACTTCCATATTCTTGTATATGTTTACCAGGTTGTCCATGTGAGGAGCAGGACGAATTTCTGCAGCACAAGACAAAAGAGCTCGTTTAGAGAGAAAGTCATTGATTTACTGAAGAAACATGAATTTGTCAATAAGGATCCAACCTTTCTTAAGTACTCTTTCTTATAAAAGAACTAACTCTTCTATGATATCAGAACGGACAGAACCTCAATCACCTTAGTGCGCCTTTAGCATTTTTATACAAAGGACAACAGAAACACATAGATATAGATATCAGCAACTAATTCCCTAATCCCTCAGCCAACAAAATCTTTTTCGACATTCTTCATTTCCCTTTCATTTCATTAGTACAAATTTCTAGCTTCAATTTCTGTACAAATTTCAAGGTGTTATGACATAAACTACTGTATAGTATTAAGCAGGTAAATACTACTGCGATATATTTGTGTAATAATAGCATTTTATGAACACATTACAATGAGAAATTCCTTAAATTGTCATCAATATTAATTCCTCAATCTCCAAGAGTTCTTCCGGTTTTTACTTTTTTGTGAGATAATCACCGTCAAACATAAAGAACTTTCAGAGACGGAAGAAATAGCAGGCAAACAATGGACAATTTGGACAACTTGATGTCAATGTTATTATACTCGTAATAAATAAAATGAACTAACACCAAAAACCCAATGAATTTAGAGAGGAATTGAGGAGTGTAAATGGACCTCGGCGCTGATAAGGCACTTTGCAAACCGGGCAATTGGAGCCTGATTTCATCGATTTATAAATACATGAACTGAAATTATTCAAAAACCAATCAATATAACATTCAAAAACTATGATAAACCATGAAATAAAGAAAAAGGAAAACAAAATGATAGTCACTTACTTGCAAAAAACATGGTTGCAGGTAAGAGAAACAGCAGAATTAAACAAACTCAAGCTGCAAAATAACCCAATTCAGATTAAAGTATATTCGAAACAACCCAGAATTTTCTTTGGAGAAATTAGAGGATAAATTCAAATAAAAAAGAGAAAATGGGTAGAAGGGGGAATATACCAAATAGGGCATTTGAGCTCTCGGCCCATTCTTTCGAGATGCGACGAATCCGCCATTATTGTGAAGTCGTCAGAGTTAAGTTATACTGAGGAAGAATTTGAAGAATTGGGTTTTAGGTTTTGAGATTGATTGACAGAATTCGAAAAAATGAAAGTAAAAATGTGAAGGAAAGAGGAAGAAATGGTGGAAAGGGGATGAATTAAAAGGATGGGGGGAAGAAGATTGCGAAGGAAGGAAGTTTGGTGGGAAATGTCAAAAGTTTTTCAAACTTTTTAAACCCCGCCAAACTTTTTAGCGGAAACTTCTTCATTTGCTAACTCCTTCAGTACGGAGTACTGTTTAAAGGCGTAAATCGAGAATAACACGTGTTATTTTCTAATTGAGACATGTCCATTCATTTTTTATTATTTTTTATTTATTTCAAATATTCATGGTCATATAACTTACAACTAGTCTTTTGACCCGTTCGATGCACGAGTTGTTATTTAGGTTATTTTTCTTGAAAAGTGTTAGTGTTGTTGTGGAATTTTATTAGATATATATATATATATAGATATTGTAGGGCATGAAATGACACATTAGTTTAAGTTATATTTAAGTTTAGGAGATGAAAAAACTATTTTATTATTAATGTAATGAACAAAAATTAGTATAACTTAGACTCAAACATTATTTATATATTTTTTTATATTAAAATGAAAATTTAAAAAGAAAGGATTGAGAGAGGTGACATGTGGCTTAGTATAGATTTGTGGTTTTTGTTTTTAAATACTAAATATAGACTAAGTATAGATGTCTCTTCGTTACAATTTTTTTTTTCTTTTTTGACTAAGATTGAATAAATTACATATTAATAGAAAAGCAAATTAAATGTTGTCCTGCTTTAGCCGCAATTTCGTGAGCTCAATAAACTTGCCAGTCCTGTCAAAAGCTGACCCGACTCGAAATACCGACTCAAACCCGATTATTAACCGACCCATCTGAACCCCAAAAAATCTGGACCTGACCCGACCTAAAACCAACCCTAGACCCTAGTTGACCCGAGTATTTGAGACCCAAACCCGAATATGAACCGACTCGGAGATGACTTGACCTAAATGTAACCCGTAAATTATTGGTCTAAACTGAACTCAACCTGAACCAAAATTGACCCAAAACCCGTGTTAACCCATCAAAACCCGAATTTAACCCGACCTGAATTCTACCCGACCCGTTCCTAACCCGACCCGAATTTTACCTGACCTGTTACTAGCACGACTCAAAATTCAACCCGACCTGTAACAAACCCGACCCAAAATCAACCTGACTTGTTATTAACTCGACCGAAATTCAACCCGAATTGTTATTGACTCGACTCGAATTTACCTGACTTATTACTAACCCGACCTTAAATTCAACCCAACTTGTTACTAACCCGACCCAAAATCAACATGACTTGTAATAGACCCGACCTAAATCAACCCAAATTATATTGTTCCTGACCCGGTTTGAAATCACCTTAAATTAATTTAGACCATCTTATTATTATTGATCAAAGCATTTTGTTTAGGGAGAGCAAATTGGTCTAGGCCAGCAAAAGAAAGAAGCATCATTCCCAAATTTAAGAGTTAAATATAGTATATATTTGTTGTATAGTCAAAGGAGACAATTATCTTCCTAAATTATAGGCTATAGTTCCCTAGTATTTTGCCATATACTAAAATGTGCCCGTGCTAATGCACGGGTTATAATTAAGGATAGGATTAAAAAAAATACAAAGTATATAGATGCAAATGGTATTTAATAAAACCAAATATAATAACAACAAAAATGAAAAAAATGAAAAAACAAAAAACAAATTGATTACAAATTACAATAAATAAATAAATAAATAAATAAAAAGAAACCAAGTGTTGAATTCATATAAAAAAAATAAAATTAAAGTCTTGAAATTATGCTAAATGAATCTAAGTCTTCAATTAGATTGTCCACCCATCTCTCGTTTCAGATAATAGAATTTTTCCTCCCATCTTACTTGTAAAACAGATGCAACTATGATATCATCATTTCCTATCTCACGAACATGTAGTATGAAAGTAAATGTATTCATCAATTGTTCACTCAAATACTCCTCTAGAAAGTAGTCTCCAAATTCCTGTTCATAAATAACAAATGTAGCCATTATGCCTGTGAGTAAGTCCTTAATGTATATGATTAAAGGATATACTTACATTATCTGTCATCGCTTGAATACTTGATATTGGACAACCAATAATCATCTCAACATATTGGCCAAATACTGTAACAGACACTGTATTTGTAGCGTCACCAATTTTTACATTGATTCTATATCTGTTATTATTTATATGATATAATTAGGTATAGTGATATGTGAAGTAGGTTATAATTATATTTTTTAAATAAAATAAAAAAAAGTGAAAATACCTTGGCCTACTAAAAGAGGGATCACACTCCACGCACATATTAGCTCTCCTTAAGTGTCGAGCACATGATTCATACCAAATAGGCATAGAAGAATCAATAGATAACACCTTTTCTAGTACTCGAAAGTATTTTACCTGGAAACACACATCAAATATTAAATACCTCATGTATAAGAAAATGAAATCAATAATTGTTGATATACATACATTATGAGCCGCTGAAAACTAATTTAACTTGATCCTTTTTGCATTAAACACCATTTCCATTTCAGAGATACTATTGGCTAATATCTGACTCCAGCTAATATGTTTTTGGACATATCCATCATCCGCATACCTATATGAATTATATAAGTACATAAGTATGCAATATAAACTTACATTATATATTATGATGTTTTTAGGCTTACCAGCCATGTAGATCATTAGTTTCATCAATATCGGGATAAATAAAAAGTTTGGTACGTCCAACAGTCGAAAGACATGCACTTATTTGAAGGTTAGTAAAAGTATTCAAAGCAATGGTAATAATGAAAATGACACCATAGTCTTTCCATGGTTATCTAATTTTTAAAAACTTATTTTACCATAATAGGAGCCAACTGATACCATGGATGCACCCAACATATGATCCTGATTAAGCTCATTGAATAAGAAACGACCTTGATCATGAGCAAACCCTTCCCATAAAGTTAGCCTCATTTTTTCCATGTTGTAAATCAAAATATATCATTAGAATTTTTTAAAAAACAAAAAGAAAAAAAAAACTTAACATTGCATAAGTTGTTATAATTACATAAACAATTTATAACTTTTGTAATATGCTCTTACTCTATGTTGCAGAGTAACACATATCTTTTGAATTGTTGTCTCCCATCCGAGACTCCATATGATTCAGACACATATATAGCCAATCCAATAACATCCGTGTACATTCATCATCAAGAAAAAAAGATTGGATATGACCTTCAGAACTCAAAAAATAATTTTAAAAATACAATAAATATTAGTACTATTTATTTTAATTACTAAAAGACAAATACCGATGAGAGGACTATTGCGCATTAAAAGGTACTGTGGAATGTGGCAAAATTCAATAAACCTGAAATTGTACCTTGGGATATCATCAAAATCATCAAGAATTTCTGTTATCATGGTCTTGTTGCCAAATTTCAACCTCATTTGGCTATTGGAATATTTGTAAGATGTATCTAGAGGCATAAGATCTAGTTGAGCAATTGAATAAACCTTTACTTGTTTCAAGATCTCTTTATATTTATCAATGTCAGCATTAAATAGTGTGATTTGAACTTCGTCCCCCTAGAAATTGAAATTTCATACATACATAAGTGTCAAATAAATGAATATATATTGAAAAAAAAGAGTAAGCACTAAGTAAAAATATAGTTCAAACCTCTGAGTCAATGAATACCATACTCCACGAACGATGGACGTAATTTGTACCTCTAGCTCTACTTTGTTTATTGACCATCCATAATAAACACACTCTCATATTCACATTTAATGTCGTAAGGGTAATACAACGACACGGTGTGTATCTTGTGTTCATTTCCTGCATTTTAACATCATTGAAGTGGGCATAAAAAAATAATTTACATAATATATCATTATTGATCCAACCTCACACATGTATAAAGGTTACATAAATAGTATAGATAATGAAATAAATCTTTAATAAAGTAAAATAGAAGCATTAACATGACAAAGAAAATCTAATATATATAAAAAAAATAGTATAGCTTTGAAATTACACTAAAACAAACATTGCTAAGAGTTACTAAATAAATGTTATAACAAAACTACATACATAGCTAATTTACATTGTTTAATACTTCCTTATACACAATATTTTTAGTCAAACTGTGTGAAACATCCTTCTTATTTTGTACTAAGATTTTTAGCCCGGAAGGAGATGTAACTCGTGACATTGCAACATATAATTGGCCATGACTAAACACGGGCCTACGGAGAAAAATGCCAACTTTGCTCAACGTCTGTCCTTGTCTCTTATTTATTGTCATGGCAAAAGCTAATTATAATGGAAATTGCCTTCTTTTAAGAAGGAGATCTATCTTCTTGTTGGAAGGTGTTAAATCAATTCGCGAAATTAGAACTGATTATGTAGCTCTTGGACCTGTGATCACTTGTGCCTCAATCACTATGTAAACCAATTTCTTGATTATAAGGCGTGTTCCATTGCACAACCATATGGATTGGTTCATATTTCGCATCAACATTACCGGGGCACCAACTTTCAACTCTAAGCAATGATTAGGAAGACCTGGAAAATTTAATGAGTTTAATAATTCCATAGGCTCCATGTTATCAAGGATACCACCATCTCCTGTATGACCCAAAGTATCCGAACTATAGTAGCTATGCACATTCCCTGGTATCATTGATAAAATTTTCGAATTTAACTCATCTACATCATTGTTCGTTGGTGCTAGAATTCCGCGATCCTTGAGGTACTTCCAATCCGTGTAATTTGAAGGCAAGTTGGGGTAGACAAAGTTAATGAGATTTTGCAAACCATGTTCATCATTGGTTATAAAAAAAAATCACGTGGTATTTAAATCCAATTTGGTTCACCTTTCTCTGCAATGGGCACTCCTTCTATAACTCCTTCTCCAACTTTAATTATCCAATCAGCAAATTCTTGAATTTGTTCAAGGGTATCGGAGGGAACGTCACTTCGACATAAACGCATGTTTATCCTTAGACACATAACTTGGCAGTCTCTCCAAAAGGACGCTCGATGCAAGGTAGCTGCAACAATAGATTCTCATCCTTCATCTGGCACCACGGGAAGTATCTGTCTGAATTCTCCACCAAGAACAACCAATTTACCTCAGAAAACTCTATTGTCACTACAAATATCCTTGAAATGTCGATCTACCGCCTCAAATGCTAATTGATGGGTCATTGGAGCCTCCTCCCATATAATTATTGATGTTTCCGAAAGGAGGCATGAGGTTTTTATTTTATTGATGTTCCAAATGGAGCATGGGTTGGACAACCTTTTCTATTGTGTAATCCAATGAATAAAAATAATGATTTACCTAGTATTAATAATGGAGTCTTAGTAATATAAATAGTTGAGTCATGTGTCGAGTCTATAAACTAATGATGCGTAATGGTTGATTATTAGTAGCTTGTTAGAGATTTCTTTTATGTTTTGCAGCTTGTATGTACTCAGCTTTGCTGATTGCGTGCTTTGTGTGTCTTTCTTTGGTCATGGCCTTCGCCTTTCAATGACCCTGTGACGATCCAATTTTTACACTTGTAATATTAGGGAGCAGATTAACCATAGGTTCTTACACATGCAACATTCGCATCAGAGTTGTGGGATTTTGAGTGGAGAGTTGGTTATTATTCGCAGTTTATTTCTTTCATAAGTTTGAATTTATTTACACTCTGGTTTTATTTATTTACTACTTTTGTTGGGTTTTGAATAAGGGCCTTAATGGTTCCAGCTTGTATCATTTAATTTGGTTTTGGTTATTGGTTTTGAAACTTATTTATAACTGAGTTAGTTTTTCCGCTGTTATTTTCTGATAAAGCCTTAACGTTTGAACACATGGCGGTAGCACGCTAGTAATTCTCTAGAATATTGTTCAGGGTCCTCACAGGTTTAAAGAGAGAATTATTAGGGTGTTACAGATGAGTCTTTTTTGAAGTTACAAACGAAATGTTGACCAGGATCAAAAGGAATCTTGAAAGTCGAATATGCGGTTTTACCCCCGGGCAATAATAAAGCAGCAATCCCCGATGAAGCCACAGAGATCACGATATTTCTTTTAAATCTGAATTTTGCAAT